ATGCTGTTCTTTTGAACTTTATTTATCAAAGAATCCTGAAAAAATGCATCATGGCTTTCCACAAAAATATTAAGCAGCACAGCTGTTTTCAGCATTGATAAGTGATAATAATAATAATAATAATAATACATTTTTCTTGTCCAGCAAATCAGCATATTAGAATGATTTCTGAAGCATCATGTGACACTGAAGACTGGAGTAATGACTGCTGAAAATTCAGCATTGCCATCACAGGAATAAATTACATTTATTCATTTAGAGACTTGTATAAAAAAAACAAAGCTAAACTTGTGCACAAAAATAACAAATAAAAGCCACAAAACATTTGATTATGAAAGATTTTGATTGTGCCGTTGTATATAGCGTAACTTGCAAACGAGTGCCTATGCATTTCATTAGGTGTTGCACCTATCATAGACTTTTGTGCATTGCCGTCCCTCAACATTGTTTACAGCACAATAAAAGAATAAAGATGAAACCAAGTGATGTAGAGTTGCACATAGATAATGTGGTTTTCATTCAGATCCCCCATCTGTGGAGTACTAAATGCAGCTCATCTAAGTGGAACTGCACACTAAACACTATTTACGCAAGAAAAGACAATTCTGGCCGAGGTTCAGAGCCAGCGGTTTAGAGAGCAGGCAACATGAAAGTGAAACGATCGAGGGTTAACATGCAACATCGGCACAATTTTCCACCCACCCCCTCCTCATTACCCATCAACCCCAGTCCCCCTGGGACGCCCATCACAGAGAATGGCAGAATGAGGAGGAACAAGTTTAAGTCAGAAAACCATTAAATTGAAACAAAAGCCTTGCACAAAGATAATATTTGCATGCTAAAAGCCTGACCTACTTTAAAATGGCAAGTTTTGTTTGGCTAAAGAAAAAAGCAGCCCCCCCGATGGTATAATTAGAGGGACTTGAGATGCATTTTTACATGCTGAAATAATTTTAGGAGAAGACAATACCTTTCAACCAACATTTCTGTCTCGTTTAACTCAAGAGTCTTGATAACCCTGAAAGACCACAGTGTAATGTTCTGGAGTATTAATAGTGCCTTTCATCTTCTCTGACTTGTGTCATTCTGCCATTGGCAAACATTCATGGTCATTGGGGAATTTTAATTATCATGCTTGAACTGCAGCAGAGCAGTATCATCTTAGCAAAATCAGAGAAAACATTGTGTTTGATCGTATGGATACTATCATATATGGTTTGTTCTAAAACCGATTTGATTTTCTTTGTCTTTGCAGCCACTTCAGTCAATGGGGAGCCCACTGATGCCCCAGCAACCGATGACCCAGAAGCCCAATCCCAAAGCCTCTTTGCCTTCCACCTGGTCCAACTCTAATGTAGACATAAGCCTGGACTACCTTGGCCCTGGCATGCATCCACCCAAACCTTCTCAGCCCACACTCAGCATGATGCAGCAAGGTAAGCAAAGATACCGATGTCTGCAACAAGATAGAATCTGGAGTTAAGAAAATTAATGAGCTCAAAAGAATTCAAACAATTAGTCTATTTGAGGAGTGGAGAAAATTAGTAACTAATCTAACTAAAAAAATATAACAAATGAAAATATAAATGTATAGAGGTGTAATACTATTATAACATAAAAGTACAATAGTAAGTGCAAACTAGATTCTGATACAAAAACATGACATATTGTTCTCATGACACTTTGTGAATACGGTTTCTTTTTTAAAGGGTGCTATATAACGCTTAAAAGCATAAAGCTATATCCATGTTTATGAAATTTGACTAAAATCAAGACTATTATTATTAGAGTTTAAAACCCTCTTTTTGTGTTTTTATATTGTCATATTTTTCCAAATAAGTAATAAAAACAGTTACACTGCTGTTCAAAAGTTTGGGGTCAGTAAGTTTTTTTTTTTTTGTTTGTTTTTTTTAATTCAAATATTAAGCAGCATATCTGGTAACAAAGCAGTATAGCAGTTGTTGTTAATAATAAATGTTTTTTGAATAGTGTAATAGATTAATATTAAGAATATTTGTAAAATGACTGTTCTTACTGGATTTCTGATCAAATAAATGCACCTTAATACATTTTTACAGATCTTACTGACCACAAACTTTTTAACTATAGTGTATAAAAAAACATGTAACACATTTAATCAGTTTTACATTTTATATGACAAAATAATTCAACATCAAAAACTATAGAATTGAGATTTTGATTATTTTAATAAATTGGCAGCCTTTATTTTCCTTTATTTCCCCCCCTCTCTATTTATCCTGCAATAGGAGTTCAGACTCCTGTGAATATGATGACTCAGGGCTTTGCTGGAATGAACCTGGGCATGCAGGCTGCTCCTACAATGGTCAGACCGCCCACCAACACCATGATGGGAGGAATGAACATGGGCATGCAGCCTGGCATGACAGGTAACACCATGCCCATGCCAACCATGGGAGGGATGCCAGTCAATCAGGGCATGATGGGAATGAATATGAACATGGGAATGTCCACAGCTCAAATGGGGATGCCAGGAGGCATGGGTACGGGAATGCCGGTCATGGGCATGAACCCTGCCATGGGACAGCCTAAACAAGATGCCTTTGCAGATTTTGCCAACTTTGGGAAATGAACTGCAGAGTATTAAGTGAGCAGTCCTTCTTTAGATATGACCATGAAGAACCTATGAAGAGCTAGAAGACAAAGACTACTTGAAAGATGTCAAATAAAGCCACGCAGGAAATGTCTGTTTAAATGATGCTCATGTACAACTGGATGATTATATTATTTTCAATGTTTTTCTGATCAGCTGTACCAAGGAGCCCTATCGAGGTTGGCTGGTTTGTACTCAGAATAATTTCAGTCATTGCACACGCACGTCCTACGTTTCCATTGCGTCGGGATATCACTTTAAGCAATGTGATGATCGTGAATGACTCCGGTTGACTTTCTCCTGTCACGTAACTTCTTAATTTAACCCAGGAAGTATTGGGTTTCTAATACTGTAGAAAAATCCTAACGATCAATTCTGGCCTTTCCTCTACTCTGCCTTAAGATGATAACCTGTAAATATTTTTGCGAGCAGACAATAACTTATTGAGTTACAAGATTAATGAATTATGATGGTGAGGATTTTTGTATGGAGTAAAGTTTGTGATCACATTTTTGTATTTGATTTTTATTCAAATCACCATTTTCTGAAGAGAAATTAAGTACTCAAACATCAAGATGATTGAATGACGATTCCAAATCAAAACCTTTGTGGCCTTAAATAGTTAGTCTACTTTTTCAATGAAAATCTGATCTACTTTGCATCTTTATGAAAATGTAAAATCTGTCCTTAAAACACATGGTGCCTGTCAGTCTCTTGCCTTTTTTTTCTAAAAAAACAAACTCTTAGGACGATATGAAAAGTACAGTATTTATTAAAGGTACTGTTAAAGAAGATATATATCTAGTTGAGTACACAAGTGCAAATTTTTTTATGTTTTTGCATGGATATAAGGAAGAGTTTGGGTGACTAAAAGGATTTTATGTATAATTGAACCTGATACGGGTTCATATTTTTATGCAGTTCTGCTTATGCTGAGTGTAAGTTGAGGCTGTGTGTTTGTAAAGCCTGGTAGCAAACAGTTGGATGCTGTATCCAGAGGACCATCACTGTATTGTCAAGATCATCTGTTTTTGTCCACAGTGTCCACTTAAGTTAACTAAGCCCCTCTCTTCCAATCTGAGGCTTTTTACAAGCAAAATGACCAAATTCTTCCTTGTTTCTTTTTTTCCTGACGGGTTGCTTTAGGTTTTGGTAGTCAGGTTTGTTGGGTTCTGTGGGATCTCAATTATTGAGTTGTTATGGGTTAGGGAGTGTTACAGGAAACACTATATGTTTATGCAAATCTACAGCAAGCAACAAAAAGCTAAATCTTCCACTGAGAATGTTTAATGTTTTCAGTTTCATACAATGACTTGATTGTACTTCTGATCTTTTATGAATGACAATAAAGATTTGATTTCCATTTTCATTGTTAAGCTTGTTGTTTTTATCTCCTCTAATCAATCTCATGTCTTAAAAATAGTCTGTTCTTAGAGCCCTCTTAGGACCTGACTCCAAACGTTAACTTTGCATGCTTTAATAGGATGAAAGCAGCACAGCCACATGTCCCATTTTCACTGGATCCTTTGCCAGTGAACTTTTTAATTGGCATAAAATTAATAAGTCATTTTGAGAAACTTGAGCTTAATCAAGGAAAAGGGAACTGGCCACAGTTCTGGGGTTTATTTTGTATCTTTTACACGCGCGCGCGCACACACACACACACACACACAGACATATATATATATATTCAGTACATGATGCTATACTCTATCATGTACTTCAGAGTACTCACTATGTCCATCTGTACACGTGTTCCCCAAGCTGGAGCCAAATGGTGATTTTATGAATATGCAACCTTTCCTCATAAATAAATAGTGGTAAAGATGCTAAGAGTTTTTATGAATAGGCAAAGCTGTGAAAGACAATTTACATTTCTAGTTTTCTAGTAATTAGTCTGTACTATTTTGCTGGAAAAAGAAACGACTTCTTTACTAGGTTAGGATTCTGTTTGACTCATTCTATACTAGGTTCGGTCATTTTTGAAGGCGAATACACCTAGAGCAATTTGACCAGCAATTACTGTTTAAAGCATAAATATCTGTAACCATGATAGAACACCTTCAAACAACAATAGGAGGAATGATTTAAGTCGTGTATATGGACACGTGACTAAGTAAATCACATTGGAAGACTAAGATTTTTTTTTTAAGTGAAAAGTTTTTCCTATTTCATGAGGAGAGTAATGTGTATATGGCTAATATATGCAGTGAGGGAAAAATAACACTCAAACATGTCAAGACAAAAAGCCTTGAGTACTACATGCAATTTCCAACAGCTCAAATAACCCATTTATACTGTTTTTTTTTTTGTTTTTTAAATCCATGGAGACCCAACTGCATTTTTTTCTTTTACACTAAAAGAGGTAAATGTCTAAATAGAAAATACTGTTTGACATGAAAATAAGAGTGTGTATTGGCTGGCCGTTTTAGTGGGGTTGACAGATTGACTTTCATTTTAACAGAACAGTGAAGTGAATATCAGCAAAGCTGTCTTAAATATATTGCCATTTCCCCTCTGATAATTTGTTAAAATACAACAAAATTAGACTCGATGTGCAATGTTAATGCTTACAGTGCATCAGTGTCTTACTTCCCCCTAGTGGTCATTCAAAGCAAACACAAACAGCGTGCGTCGAGTATGTGACCTTCACTCAAACAACAACCAACCACAATTAAAAAGAGTTAATTTTACTCAGCTTTTAACATATTATTTTCATCTGTTGATATACATATCAATATGATACTCATTTTACAAAACCTTTCTGAGTGATCTCCATAAAAAGTAAACAAAACAAATATTTCATCTGGCTAGTCTTTAGTCCTGCTGTATGTTCACAAGAAGAATGTTTTCTCCTCGTATAAAAAGCTGATTGACATGACGTGTGTGCACTCTTCCATACTCCACTTTAGGCTTGTTTTCAGACTTTTGTGTCGCTTTTAATGTGGTCTTGTCTTTCTCAGAGTGTTCAGATCTCTCCTGGGTATGTTTGGGGTCGGTTCTCCTGGTTTGGTCTGTGAGATGAGATGAACTACTGTGTAGCTCTGACTTCTTCCCAACCGCGCTGAGAGCCACGGTCTCTTGAACTTTTAATTTTTCAAATAGCTGTAATAGAAAATTAATTGAAAGAGATTTATAAAGCAATATAATTACACTGAAGAGTATTAAAAAATGCCAGCAAAAACATGATTTAAAAATTCTTCAGTGTAAAGCACAGTGTAAAAAAAAAAAAAATTTTTTGATCAATTTTAGTTGTGATTAAGGATTAATTACTACTAGAATATTCAGATATATATTCAAATGATTCACCCTCGTGACAGTAAGTGCTTTCTCATGATAAAGAGCTTGTCCCAGAAGTGGCTCCCTGTATGTTTCATCCACATCCACCATTGCCTGGCACCAAACGGATCAGCAGATTAAAAAAGACAAATATTAATATTTAATAATGATTATTATTAATGATAATAAATGTAAAGGTGATTTAATACTTGCCAGGTTCCAAAACTTATCAAATGCCACCACAAAGCCAGAACACACTCCTCGGAGCCCTTTAAAGGTCCGGATGTGAACCTTGACTCTGATTTTCTCCTGAACACATCTGTTCAGCTCTCCTAATGGACTGCCTGTGTGCACTGGGGGGGAGGGAAGATACAGAGCCGAGTGAGCTAACTAGATTTTGTTTTGTTAATAAACAGTTTAGTGTTTACTATCGTCTTGTGACCTAGACAGCAAAGGCAGAAACATACGTGGCATTCTGGTAAGCACATTTTTGGCCGCTTTTCGCTGTCGAGGCGGTCGCTTGACTCCGCTTCCCTCTCCCTCCTCCTCAACCGGGTTGTTTACCATGAGTCTCTTCAGCCTTTCTATCCTCTCTGGGTCTGCTTTACCCTTCTGTGCTTTTCGGAGTCTTTTCTCCACGTTTTCGGGTTTCGCTCGGCCTCGACCGCCTTTCATGAAGCTCTCATATTCCGCGATGTTATTAAAGCACTTGATACTGGGGTAAGGCAATGGCACCTGTGGGGAATACAGAGCGAGCAGAGGGTCAAACTTATCCGAGCTGATGTCCAGCTTAGTTTCGATATCATCTTCGTCAGTTTCTAGTTTTTGTCTGCGGGTCTCGGTGGTGGTTTGCTGGTCAGATGTTTGGGAAGGTCCTGAACGGCGCTCATTTTCTGACTCTCTCTCACCCTCCTCCATTTTTGAATGAGCCGCAGACTGCGGAGAATCATGGGTAACTTATCAGTGTGAAGCCACCGATGAAAATGTTTCCTGTCAAAGTCACTAGTACAAAATATGCCAGTTTACTAATAGGAAGTCTTAAAAATACTTTTACTATTTGTAATTATACTATTTTTATATATACTTAAAACTAAAACCATTAAAAATGTTACTTGAAATAAAAAACGTTAACTGAAAAGTTTATTTGAATTAAACCTATTTTACTTCAGCTAGTTTCCAAGTCAAATTTAGTTTAACGGTGTATTCAAATAACTAAAACGAAAACTGAAAATATAATTAATAAAAACTATTTAGATATGTTAAAAAACAACAATAAAATGTAAAAAATGCGCAACAGTATTACTACAGCTTTAACTAAAATTATAAAAAAATAAAAACTAATTAAAATATTAGTAAAATCTATATTATCTAAATTTTACTAAATTAACACTGATTTGTAAGTAACTATTTATATGAAACCCCTCCTGTTTTTCTGTTTTTATTAGGGAGGTGTATTATCCCCATCAATTATTTTTCACAATTTTCTATTCAATAAACAGATTGCTAAAGACTTAAATTTAAATTAAGTAACAATAATGATGATGGTTATTAAGATGATAACAATGATATTATTATTATTTATAAATAATATTATTATTTAATTAAGTATTATTATTTTGTGTATTTTAAATTTTTTACTATTATTTTTAATTGTACTTATCTAAATCTTATTTCTATTTTCTTGGCTATGCATGTGTGTACTCAGAGCAGATTGGAAACCACTTGTGTGTTTGTGGATACTTTTGTTACCGCTTCCGCATTCGTTCTCCTCCTCGTCAGTAGGTGGCAGCGCACACTCGCACATACAAACGGAACGTACTACACGTAGAAGCGTGTGTTCGTAATGTATTGTTCTAAAAGAAAACATTGCCGTATCGTGTAAATTTTGTTTTTTACATATTAGAGAATAAATATACCAGATGCTAGAAGGATAGGTGGCGCTGCTTTCGATTTATAGTACAGTGCTCCGGTGAAGGGTTGGTGTAATAACCTATACTAGAAATATGCTGTGTGAAGAATACCAGAAGATGAGGAATCCGTTTGTATTGCTTCAAGATTTAATAAGCATATGAATTTACTGGAATCGTGAATAACTGTCGATGTCAAGAGAATGTCAGTGGACATAAACATGTTGGTGCTACAAAAGATCTGATGTTACAGTGGACCTGGGGACTTTGTCAGCACTCTGGACATTTCTGTAAGAAACATATCTTAACAAAAAGTACATTCTAATATTATAAATTATATTATGATGATATACACACTGCATAAACTATATATTAACAGTATACCACGGCTCTATTTTAACTAGGTAGTCAGTGGAAATGGAGTTTCCAGGACATAGTCAGCAGCTCTTGGCCAGCCTGCGCTCTCAGCGTCTACAAGGTTTCCTATGTGACTGCACTGTGCAGGTCGGCCCGACTCGTTTCGGAGCCCACCGTGCCGTGTTGGCCTCTTTCTCCCCTTTCTTCCATATGTTTTACTCCGATCAGTCAATGGGGAATACCAGCACAATCAATGGAGGGCCACAGAGAGACACAGTCACTATTAATGGAGATATCGTGACCCCACAAGCCTTTGGGCTCCTCCTTGACTTTATGTACGAAGGGGTTCTGCGATTAGCAGCCCACCCCCCTCCAGAGGACGTGCTCGCCGCAGCCAGCTTCCTACATATGAATGACGTGGTGCGAGTGTGTAAGAGAAGACTGCAGGGTCGAGGATTGGCTGAGGCGGATAGTACAAGAGTAGAAGTTGGAGCAAACGAGTCAGCTAAACGTGGAGAACTTGATGGCTTGAGTGGAGAAGACGTACCTGGTGTAGAAACAGAAAGAGATGGAGCAGTAAGACATTGTCCACAGTCAAGTCAACAAATGTCTCTTTATATCGATACCAAGACTGAAACACAAGCAGGGATGGCTAATCTCCTCACGCACAGTGCGGAGAGTTCAGAAATGGCTGACACGACCCAACCAGGAATGGACTCGCAACCAGCCATTAGTAATTCTTGTTCAGGTCCGTCCACATATCGTTTTTCACCTAGACCTGACAAAACAAGAATATCGGCACGGTCTGCTAGCCTAGAGTCGGCACTTTCAAGTCCATGTAGTACGACAGAACTAATTCAGACAGAGACGCAACCTGTTGTAGCCACTGCCGTGGCTCTGAGCAGTGTGGACAATGCTAGTGCTGCTCAAGAACGTGAATCTAGAGTTTTTATGCAGGCTCAAACACTGAAACCCCAATTCCGGAATAGAAGTGCTGGAAATCCAGGGTCTTCACAACACATTCAGAGCCAGAATGAAAGGAGACATGAGAACACTTTGCCCAATGCAAGAAACATGCAAAGTAAGCGTAACAAAACTCTTTCGCAAACATCAAGGGAAGAAAATGAAGATCGCTTTGAAGTGAAATTGGAGGCCATTGTGATTTCTGATGAAGAGTCTGATGATGTAGATGAGACAGTGGTAATGGATGACGGCCCAAGTAGAAATGCAGATTTAGATCATGGGGATGATTTTGATGACAGTAATCATGATGTCGAGGAGCTGACTGATACTCAATTTATTCCTGCACACCCATTAATTCATCTGCCACATCAAGAACCCATTTCTTTCCCTTCCTCACCGCAAGGTCCTAATCCTTCTACAGCAGAAACCACCAGCTTTGCATCATCTCTTTTTCCAGCCAATTCCCAGCCGGAGCAGCAGGCCATGTACCTTGAGGATTTTCATGACTCGCTTGGGAGTTACGTAGAGGATGTGCCTACTTGTAACACTTGCGGAAAGACGTTTTCCTGTGCTTACACCCTGAGGAGACACGCCATTGTGCACACTAGGGAGCGACCTTATGAGTGCAGCTACTGTTTCCGCAGTTACACGCAGTCTGGAGACTTGTACAGGCACATCAGAAAGACGCATGATCACGGCTTACCAGTTAAACGCAGCAGAGTCGAGTCAGACCCCCCACCATCACCCCCCCCCCCTCCTCATCCTCCCCAGACCTAGCCATCATTTGTGGCTCAATCCTTTTAACAGGTCCTTCAGAAACCTGTATGAAGTACTGCTGAAGGCTTTTGAAAATGGCACAAAATCATGAATTGCCACATCTATACTTTTGTGGCAAATGCTTTGAAAGGGAATCTTTCTGCCATGCCATTTACAAACACAACTGTTTTTTTCACAAAAGTTTTTTTTTTTTTTGGTGGTAATTCAATACTGTTGAGATTTGTACTGTTACACAAACTGGTTTTAAAATTCACTGTTAAAAGTATTTTGTTTTTATATAAAGATTGGCAGTGTAAGTAAATTTGAATGTCTCTTATGGAATATTGTAGCTGTTATACCAAGAAATGAGCATTGAGATCCATTAGAGCAGATAAATGACTATATCACTCACTACAAGGAAGAGTTTTGCTGTGTATGTGTTTTGTGCAGTTTTGTGAGTCTGAAAGATGGTAAGACTGTAAAATAGGTGCTATGAATTAGTCAGCTTTCAGTGCTTTTGAGAACGGTCCATTTATTTGTTGTAAAATGTTTAGAGAACTTAAACACTACTTTCCAAAAGTTTGGGGTCAGTAAGATTTTTTTATTATTAAATTACTATTTTTATTCAGCAAGGACACAATAAGTTGATTAAAAGTAACAGGAAAGACATTTATAATTTAACAAAGATTTCTATGTCAAATAAATGCTTTCTATTCTTCAAAGAATTCTGAAAAACGTATCATGGTTTTAATAATATTAGAGAGCACAGCTGTTTTCCACATTTATGATAATAGTTTCTTGAGCAAATCAGCATATTAAAGCTATTTTAACATGCTGATTTGCTTATATTAGAATGATTTCTGAAGAATCGTGTGAAACTGAAGGCTGGAGTAATAATGGCTGCTGAAAATTCAGCTTTGCCATCACAGAAATAATTACATTTTAAAATATATTCAAATAAACCGTTATTGTACATTTTGATAATAATTCACAATATTTCTGTTTTACTGTATTTTTGATCAAATAAATGCAGCCTTTGTGAGCATAAGAGACTTCTTTCAAAAATATACAAACCCCAAACGTTTGAAAGGTAATGTACATCAGATCAAAACCTACCAGTTACTGTTAAATAATGGCCAAATGTCTAAATTAAAAGTCTGCACAAGGGAAAACAATAAAACAAGACTTTTAATAGTTAGTAATGTTGCACTGTGATATTCTTCAACATATGTTTGGTAAAATGGTGGTTAATACCACAACACAGTAAGTTACTTATTCTGTCTTCCAACAAAGATTCATTTTCACATTTGTTTAACTGTAACAATGTACTCCACAATAAAACAATGTCCATTATCAGTCGTCCACTGGTCCATGCATCTGCAGAAAGAGGTATTGATTTAGAAGTTAATTAATGCTAAGTGAATTGAGACGGATGTTTTTTAGAGCACATTCTAATGTGATTAATAGTCATCAAAAGGTACTCACTGCCTCTGCTAGCTCAGGCCATGCCATCGCCATCACAACTCCATCATCAGATGTGGGAGGAGTCTCCAAATTCCAGTATGTGAAATGATGGAACACTGAAGAAACTTTCACTACTCTGTCCTAAAAACAAATGACAGAAAAAAAAAGTTTAAGGACTAGTGTTTTAAAAAGCATGATCTGTTATTTAGAAATTCATGATATCAGTGAATTCAAAAGTAAGGCACAGTGCAGGTACCTCTTGATCAAATGCAGGCTTCTGGACCTCTTTTAGCACTAGTCCTGTGTATCCTTGTGGGCAATGCAATTCCTGACCCTTCAGCCCCCGACCTCTGAATGACACTGTCGTTTCTGCACAACACAATGTTATGTTTATCGGGTGGAGCGCTTCAACTCGTTTCATTCTCGAGGTGTGTACTTGTTTGACTAACCGTGTTTGCGTTCCTTCACAGTGGGATTAAAGAACTTGAAAACTTCAGCAGGTCCATTATGCTCTATTTCACAAGGTAACAAGTGGATCTGTGGTTTGTCAGCTTGCTTGAGGGAATCAAGCCGGATAGCTGTCACGCAACTGTTCGCTGACATCTAGTGAAACAAAATGTGTAAAGCACATTTGACAATTACTAACAGTGTCATTTCATTAATATATTTGACCCTGGACCACAAAAGCAGTAATAAGTAGCACGGGTATATTTGTAGCAATAACAAAACAATATGGGTCAAAATGATCGATTTTTATTTTATGCCAAAAATCATTAGGATATTAGGTAAAGATCATGTTCCATGAAGATATCTTGTAAATTTCCTACCATAAATATATCAAAACCTAATTTTTGATTAGTAATATGCATTGCTAAGAACTTAATTTGGACAACTTTAAAGGCGATTTTCTCAATATTTAGATTTTGTTTTTTTTGCACCCTCAGATTCCAGATTTTCAAATAGTTATATCTCGGCCAAATAGTGTCTTAAACCATACATCAATGGAAAGCTTATTTCAGCTTTCAGGTGATGTATAAATCTCAATTTTAAAAAATTGGCCCTTATGACTGGTTTTGTGGTCCAGGGTCACATATAAGGGAAACCAGGACACAACTTAGTTTCCACTGACATAGTGCCTCGCTATAAGGTTGCCATTAATATTTTAACTCTTTTTTTAAAGTAAAAATTACAAAATGACATTACATTAAATGGCAGTGAAAGGCAGATTATCTATTAAAAGACTCATGTATACAATTGTATTATTAATAGAACAGTTGTCAAGTGAAGTTGAATTAAAGACATGTCTTCTACAATAAATTGTACACTTTTTCCAGTTGATATAAGGATCGCAGAAAAAGCAGTTTATATCAGTGTTATCAGAACTGAACCTCTGTAAACTTGTAAAAGAGTACGGTAAAGCGGAGATGTAATTTTCTAACAGATATCTTACCTTGCTTGTTTTCGGTTCTGTTTATAAAGTGTCACGTGGGCAGCTGCGTTTACTGTGATTGGGCGCTCTGTATTTCTTCGCTACCACGCGGATGTTTTTCGCGGTAAAATCCAAAGCATTCTGCCATCTACCGTTCGTTGGTGTCGTCGGATGATGACTCGAAAAAAGACAGTATTTTTACTTTATTGTTATTATTAGTAGTAGTATTATAATTTCAACTTATATAAAAATTAACAGACACACACATAACTTTATAATTACGTCTGTTATATTTCTTTTATGATTACAGCAGCACTGTTTCCTGTTTCCAGGCGCTCTACGAGTGCAACACTGATATTATTCCTACAGGAGTTTGGAACCGACTAGGAACGATATTACTCGAAAGCGACGGTGTCTCGTTCGTTCATGTCAGTTGGGTTTTGATGGACTCCCATATTAGTTTGTTTAGATAATTACTATATTTTGATTACTTTTCTAACGCCTCCTGTGGAAAATGGTTGTAATTTCGTGTTTAAAAGTGCCGCAGCGTCACGCACAAATGTACAGGTAGGATACATACAAATAGTTGCTCTCCGAATCTCTGTGGCATAATTTCCTTTATGCAAAATTACGTTTAATTTATATAAGCAATCTGTTGATATCGGTTCTTGTTTTTTGAACAGTTTAACTTTTTATTCCTTTTGCATTTGCAATCAAAAATATATCACACACTAAACAGATTAAAAGTGTTAGTTGGCCAGTTATTAAATCTTTTTAAAGCTTTTTTTTAGTGTTAATGATTTATAATTATCAACATAAGGTATCTCTTTATGTTAATACTGAAATATTCCATGAAACGTGGGTAAAAATAAGTAAGGAAGTCGCTGTCATGTTAAAACCAGTTAACTTGAATGGTTTTACATGTTTCTGTATTTAGAAACCTGGTGTATTACTATGTATAACTGTTTTTCAGAAAATACCTACTGTCACAAGGTGTTCTGGACCGCAAGTACTGTGCACAGAAACACCCAGATGGGACTGTAACCCTCCCAGTCATAGTATCTTTTCTGGCACAGCTTGATCTAGTGGCACTAACAAAATATGTCGCACAAGACAGCTTTTGTGAAATTGTTGATATCCAGGTAAGCATTCACAATTATTTAAGATATATGTTTGCACCCAATTCACTGAACATCTGAGCGTCAGTATATCTGCTTATTTTTTTAGGCTCCCCCATTATCAAAGAAGGAAAAAGTTAAATCTTCTTATAAGAGGCTTCTAGAGACTGCACAGTCTTTGCTGGTTTCTAAAGGAGAAAAATGGAGTGAAGATCTAGAGAGAGACATTCCTAGCCGATGGCAATGCCATGGAGATCTTGTCCTGTTTAGCGAAGGCTCCTTTTCTAATGCAATATGGAAAGAAATTGGTGGGTGATAATGAATCTCAGACCCTCTGTACATCCAGGCTTGCATATAAAATAATTAGATTATATATTCTGTCTTAATATTTTTTTCCAGAGTAATATCTCATAGTAATTAGCTTAAATGTCTTCAATATATTCTTGAATATATTTATTTGTTTTAGGATCTGAATTCTGGACTGCAGTTGCCCTGACGTTGGGAGGGAAACGTATAGCACAAATTAAAAAAATCTCCCAGGATGGTTATCGTACACCTATAGTGACTATGCTTTTAGGAGACAACAGCTATGTAACACACATTGATAACCACATTAGGTAACCAATAAGATGCTGTGTTATTTGAAAAAAATCTCAACATATTAAATAAATATTCATATTAATCAATCTGTCTAAAATGTAGGTATGAGTTTGATGTCACCAAGTGCATGTTCTCTTCTGGGAATATCACAGAGAAGCTCAGAATAGCCTCCTTTGACTGCAGTGGAGAGACTGTGGTTGACTTATATGCAGGTAAAAGCAATGCTGTGTGTGCCTTTGGAATGGTTTTTAATCACCCAAGATGTATGATCAGATTTTGCCCCACTGTCCAGGGATTGGCTACTTCACTCTTCCATATCTTGTACATGCTAAGGCTGCTCATGTGCATGCATGTGAATGGAACCCAGATGCAGTAAAAGCTCTACAGAGAAACCTGCAGGTCAACGGTGTGTCAGACCGCTGCACTGTCCATCCAGGAGACAACAGACAGGTCAGGATAACGGCTTGTACACTGAAATACAAAAGTGCTGATTGACATTATCTTAAATTCACTTACTAATATTTTAGAAAAAACAAAACGAAAACATTTTTGTTGTGGATGAGAATCAGCTCATTGGGTAAGAGACAATATATAATAATGTATAACAATTTTCTCATTATGTGAACATGTCCAAATCAGGGGTTCTCTAGGTCTTTGCTCTTCCACAAATTAAAGCCTTAAAAAACAGCCATAAATAAAAGCAAACATCTTAAATTCATTGCATTAAATGTTGCATATACTGCAAGAAATAAATATCTTCCTCAGCATTTTTTACCAGTTCAAACATCTAAACATCCTTAAATCAAGAAACATTTACTCGAGTTGCAAAATGAAGATATGAAGTCTTGTTTTCTGTGCAACTGAACAAAATTAAGTGAGGTTATGCTTAAAACATCTGTCAGTGGGGTCAAAAAATGTGTTTTCCGTATGAATACCAGTTGATTTTTCTAACCCCATTGGCAGATAGTTCTTGATTTAATCATGAACACACTTATGTAATCTTGCTATTTGCACATCTGGTCAGCTGAATTAATAAACTTTTGGACATCCTTTTTAGCTTCCATTGTGTGATCTTGCTGATCGAGTGAATTTGGGCCTCATACCAAGTTCGGAGGAAGGATGGCCAGTGGCATGTCGTCTGCTAAAGAGAGACACTGGTGGAATGCTGCATATTCATCAAAATGTCACAACACCTTTGCATCATGAACCACTTGAACATTCATCTGCTATCGATGTTGAAAAAGGCTCTTCTATGGAAGAATCTTCTCTGAGGATCCAGAGAGATATGCAAGCATGGACTGCCTGGGCTTCAGAAACAGCCAGACGCATCTGTACACTTTTGTCAGACATCACTGGAAGCAAATGGAAGACAAATATCAAGCACATAGAGCATGTTAAGACATACGCACCACATATCAGTCATGTAGTTCTGGACTTGGAGTGTAAACCTCTCTGATAAACACATTCAATCATGTATAAAGTTTTTAATTCTAATCTTTATAATCAGCTATAATTAGTTTTACCCTTTTCTTTGGGTGTGTGTGTTTGAAATGCAAAATTTAGTGGTATTTTATAGTTATTTTAAATGTAAAAAAATATATATTGTTCACTTATGAACACTGTACACTTATGTACTGTATGGTTGTCTTGTTCGAAACGCAGTGAAGATTATTTAATTTTATCTCTAACAACAGATAAAGAGCAACACCAATTATTAAGTGGCCATCGATATTTATTTTATTTACAGGTATATGGAATTTCCCTAATATTAATTAATTGTTGTATTATATACCATACCATTCAGACATTTATTTAAATGTTTTTTTACAAGTATTTTATGATTATCAATTCTGAACTGATTTGATCAAAATACTGTTAAATGTGCTCATTTGGTGCTAAAGAACGTTACTTTTCAATGTTGAAAGCAGTGCATCTTAATTTTGCTGTGGAAACCTTGAAACAATTCATTTAGGGATCCTCTGATAAACAGAAAGTTCAAAAGAACAGCATTTATACAGCACAGGAATCTGTGACATTAGAATGTATTTACTGTCACTTTTGGTTAGCTCCATGCATCCTTGCTGAATAAAATTGGGAGTATCTTTAAAAGAAGAAAAATTCTAACCACAAACAGTGTAAAAAAAAAAAAAATGTTCTATCCTGTGGCCATTATGACCAAATTTATAATTACATCACTTCCACCCAGAACTAAATAACTACTATTAATGCTCCCTTCATGATTTTTTTTTTATCCAAAAGAGATTTGCTTATATACAAAAAGTTTCTTTGTCATTACTCCAGCGCTTAAAATGTACCAGTACATATTTCACCTCATAAACGTTACGCATTATTTTATACAAAAACGCCTATTATATTATTGACATTTATTTTTTTTAGCTGTTCTCTAAGCTTCACATCAATTTAAATCTTAAAACACAGGACTACAAAGCAATATGTGATTCTGTCCACTGACCTCCTCCTTCCACGGAGGAAACGCTGACGTCTGCGCGCGCAGTCGCGCACCTGTTGCACGGTGATCCAGCGCTGACTGAAAAGTTTGCGTTTGTTCCGGAACGACGTTTATTTGGCAAAGCTGGAAGTCATTGATCTCGCAGGGAGAAAAGCAGTGTGGGAAAATCCTGCGCTATTGGTAAGAAAACATTTAAAGCACATTTGAAGAAATTTTGTTAAGATGTTAGGCATCTATTTTAAATACGACAAACTGTACTAACACTGTTTAGATTCTACTTTAGAATAAAATGCTTCCCTAAGAGACGCAACGAGTCGAGAGAGTGTCTAAGTTGTTGTCATTATGCGTCTATGTATTCACTCTTCTTTTGAGATCTTGAAGTGTGCTAACATTTGTATTCTATTTTCCTTTACGCGCTAACTGTTATTTTGCGTTTTATTTTCCTATACGTTAACTGTTACTTTTCTGTTAAATATTGGACTCTTTTATGTGTAATGTTGGATAATTTAGTTAAGTCAATTTGACGTTGTTGTCCATGTGTTAGAGCAGGACAGATCCTTCAGATCTAGGTTATAACGTTACGTTAGCTGGAGGAAGGTCCATGCACACTTTAATCCTTTCTATTTTCCTGAAACATTCAAAGAATGAGGAACAAGTTTGTTAAGAAGGTCTATTTATTTTGGATATTGACCAAACCAGTCTTAATTGAAGGTTATTGAATTTTTTCTTTCTTTTCTCAGACGCTTTCCACCAGTTGAGCTCAAAAGGCTTTCACAAGGCTTATGGGTGCTAGCTACCAAGTAATAATCATCATAAATGCCTCATTAAAAAATGTAGGTTTGCTGAAGACCTCCACCCATGGTTGTGTGTCCATAAAGAGCGGCAACTCCTGTGATACGCTGACTGCATGTTGTTTTCCT